CTGAATTACAGCAGTGAGTGTGGGGAGGAGCTTGTCAGTCCCGATGAAAAGTCCCTGAGATTCTTACCTGAGAAGGTGAATACAAGCTCATGTGCATCTTGTGGGCCTTGGTGAGAAGGGGAATCAAGGCTGCCAAGTGACAGGAAGTGAGACAGAGAGGCCCCATTACATTTGCAGGCTATGACCCTGTATGGATCTCTAGAACTGAGTCAGATGCTTGATGACAAACATGTACAGACCTGACATCACTATGGGTATAAACTACAAGTCATACAGCCAGAGGAACTCATAGATGATTTCAGAGAGGTAAAAAAATACACTTGGAATTACTGAAACCTTGATTTGCTCTGTGGACAACCTCCTATTTATAACTAGAAGGGATGAAGAAACTCCTAATGTGAATTTAATTCTAACCAACAAAACCAACTGGTTAAAGTAGAAACTTGAGAATTCCAAGTCAGTCAGTGAAGGAAGTGGTACCATGGGCCTTAGGCAGACTTAAAAGATTCTGAGACCAGATGTAATCCAATGACCAGGAATTTCAAAAGAGGGAGACAACAATGCAAGAAGAAATTTACACAACACAATCACAGATGACCCCAGTGGGAGTGAAGACTAAGTATCTTGGGAATGCTGGTGAGCTCAAAGAAGTTTTGAGTGTCATAAAAAGAAAATGCACCAAAGATGAAAATATGTCCTTATTCTGATAAGGACAGATATCTAAGTATTGGCCAAATATACTGGCAAGAAGGAATGAGTCCAACACTGGTCACCTGCCAGAGAATTACATCACAGCACTGGCATACCTATGAAGGGTCAAGTATCTTGTTTTTTGTTACAACAGTGATAATGGCAAATATATAAAATGTAAAAGGTGAGCTTGAAATCAAATCAGAACAAAATTCTGGAAGCAATCAGCAAACACATGGTTTACAGGAATGATAAAGGAAATAGAGTAGTTGGAAGGCAGCAGGAGCTTGATCAGGAACAGGTCATGCAGACCAAACTCACTGTCTTTTTTTAGATATGTGACACAGATCAGGAGAGGCTGAAGAGCAGGACTTGAGCATAAAGATCTGGATTGCACTTTTGTGAAATCTGCAGTTAACCTGAAACTGAGGCAGTAATCAATGTTAGATGACATAATCAGGATTTTAGAAGATTTAGAGAACTGTACAGATGGTATAAGACAGAAAGTGAACTCCAAACTCCTGTAACAATCCCTGCCACATAATAAGCACTCAATAAACCTTTGCTGAAGGAGTGAATGTTTCTGGAGCTATCTAAGTTGAGACTTGTGGACCAATGGACTTAGATACTGTAGAAAGCTAAAAGCATTAGGAAGGCAGTTCAACTAAATGATCTAAGTATCACTGTAACTTGCCTTGCTTCTTGATTTATCTCAAGTCCTTCCAAATCACTTTAAGCCTCACTTGCAATCTGAGAAACAGTTCTTCCTCCACAGTATCTTTGATTCCCAAAGACCCCTTCCCTCATGTCACCGTTTTCTTAACACACATCACAAGGGAATGTTCTACTTCAGCTCCATTTCAGACACCTGCATACATACAGCAAATACTCACAGATGTATGCCCAGAATTGAGGACAATTCTGAAGGTGCTAAAAAATTTCTTCCCTTTCTTTTCTAATCAGGAAAGTATAGTGGAATACAAGTGTTTGAGAATGATTATTATTATAGGGAGACTCAAGCATTTGCTCTAAAGTATTTAAAAATCAATAAATAAAAAGGTAAAATCGCCCACAAACTTCAGAACCTCCAGTTATGAGAAACTGAATATTTCATGCCTCAATGTAGTGAACACAAGAACACTGTCAATCTCTTCAGCTTAGCCCTTTGGTGATACAGCAACAGCCCACTTCCCCTGCTTTGTCTTTTGCCACTTTGCCCTCTGCCCACCAGATCCCCAGCATTCTCACCAACCTGCAGCTACTCAGTGGTGTTAGTCTTGTTCATACAAGTTCTTTTCTCTGCCAGGAATGCCTTTCCTCAGTTAACTTCTATTCATCTTTCAAAACTCAGTTCAAGGGACACCTCCTCCAAGAAGCTTCCCAGACCACTCCCATGTCCTACCCCTACCCCCCCTCTTTCCTACTCTGTTATTAGAGCACTTACCACACTGCTGGTTTCTGTCCCTATTCTTTCACTAAGCTCCTGGGTGGCAAGACCCTACAAGATATCCCTCCGGGGTTGGCTTCATGAATGGATGATTAATGAGCAAACTCACATCAACTCTCAGAACCAGGGTGCCTTGTAGGATCAAAGGATTTAAGTAACTTGCCTAAGAGCACACCAGGAAAACTGGGCTTGAATGCCCTAACCATAGTGCTTCGCCACTGGGTCAGAGAACACACTTCGCAACAGGAATTTTATGACAATAGCACCTTTGCTCTAAACACTTTCCTCTGGTCAATGATCTACTTTTGAAAGGGCTACACTGCTTCCTTTAATCTGAGAATGTTCTTGCAGGGTGTGACCTGCCTCCCATGAACCATTCCAGCCCTACTACACCAAAGGCATGGGAGAGCTCTGCCGTTTTCAAGGAGGGGGACTATCTACTGCAATTCACCTTACACAGGTACCAAGTATCCCCCTTCAAATAAAATCCCAGGGGTCAATGCAACTCTTTAAAAGAGGTGAACAAGAGGGGAAAATGACTAACGGACCTGTTTTAAAATATCTCTTTATTTGTAGGAACATTCTTTTGAAAATCAAGTTATATGGGAAAAAAAGGAAAAAAGAATCTTGTGAAATACTTTAAGAAATAAAGTTCACCCAAGCCACCATCATTCCCTGTAATACTATCAAGGGGAATAACAAAGCTTCAATTCTTGGCACATTTTGTCCTACTTGTCTCACCTTCCTCATTTTAATTTTAATACTTTTCTGGGTAACCTAATTTTAACAGTCCCAAGAGAGTTGTTTTAGCAAGATCAGACAGGGACCACTAAGTTTTGAAGCTAACATAATTCAAAGAACTATTTACTTATGCCATAGCCATAAGTCTCATTTAAATATACAAAAATGGGAAATACCATTAAGTGGAATTTGGCACAGGTGTATTTCTTGGGTCCTACTTACACTGGTCTCAGTGACACACCAAAGCCTTTGATGACACTTACATGGCTGGGTTAGTGTCATGAGGTGGCTCAAGTGTGGAGACCTCTCTCTGGGGTCTGAGACTAGCAGAGCTGCATAATGGGAAAGCATATAGGTTTCCTTAAAATATCCATCACTGATCATTGATCATTGATTTTGAGTCACAACAACTCTCTGAATTCTAACCCCCTACTCAATATGATCAGATAACAGACATGACAATGACTCAAAAGGCTGAAACTGGATGGAATTTAGAGCCCAGACTATCCCAAAGTATTTTAAGGTGTGGACAGGCTAGTGGTATGTACCTGTGCAGGGGCAGGTCTGTGTGGGATGAAAAAGCTGGATGGCCTACTCAGCCAGGCCTCTGGGTTGGCTGCTTCCTCTGGTTTCTTTCCTGTTCTTCCACTGAGAAGTATATAAAGCACCTGGGTCTCCCCAGACCCTGACCCCTGCCACAAGACTCAGATGCTCACCCTTTCCTTACAGCCAATGTGAGAGGAAGAAGTACTACAGACTCTGAAACAAACTTTCAGATATATTTCACTCAGGTATTATTCCTGGTCCAGAGAAAACGAGAATAACCAATGAAAAAATACACACAAAACCAATTATAGCTAGCTTTTCTCTGTAGGCAGACTGTTTTGTGGATTAAGTTTTGCTTTTATGAAACAACAGGCTCCATTACTTCATCCTTCTGCTATGTACCTGGACTGTCTCCCAACCCTGCCCTACTTTGACCTTGGGGTGAACATACAGAGAACAATCACTAACTTAATCTCAGTTTCTCTAAAATACATACAATTTGCTAATACTAAGAAATCATAGTATTGTAACTGGAATCATATTATGTTACTCATTTGCCCTACAATTTGTGGTTCACAAAGCATTTTCACAAATTATCAATGAATGAAAGAACTGGGATTTTTGGCACCAAATCCCACGTTCTGATACAATTAGTACTTAGGGCCTACCTCTGTTGTTATTTTATACCTCAGTAAAATAAATAACAACACAAACAATATATGGGACTGTTCGTCTAAAAATATACTTAGTTTTTTTTCCTTTTTGGTAATTAAAGGAGTATCCTCATAAAATACACACACACCACACACACACACATTGGTAATTAAAGGAGTATCCTCATAAAACACACACACACACACACTTAATTTTTCTGATTCTTCTGTTCTTTCCCCAGGTCCACTATGGGGTCTGTCATCACATATGGTCACTCTGGGTTTATCAAATGTCTCACAGAACTTCCACCTTCTCTTACCCCCACAACAGGCTTATCAACAGTGGCCTTCAGGACTTCTCTGTATTTCAGCAAGCCATAATGTGCTAAAGCTTTGGGAGTCTTTTTCTTAAAGGTAACTAATATCTAGTTGGAAGAACATCACTTGGTGATTAAAGTGTTCAAGTTCTATTTTATGCTATTATAATTTATAAAATCTTTAATAAGGTCTGAAATATTTACAAATTACTCCTGTCTAGCTGAAGAGGAATTCTAAGACATTTCTTATTTTCAACTAATCATCATGTAACAAGTATGAAACTGTAGAAGTCTTTTAGGTCATGAGTCTTAACCATCACCTTTCTTTATTGGAAAGAAAAGCAACTATTGCGGGATGAAATCTATAAGGGTTTTGGGGTAGAAAAAAAGAGCAAATAGCTGGGAACTTGGAGAAACAAGGAGTAGGAAAAGACAAAAGAGTCATGTGGAACATGCACAGTGCTTTCCAAAATCACCCAGTTCTCTTATCCCTTATTCCTGAATATAACCTTCAACAAGCAGTCATTACTTTGCAGAAACGAAACTGAAACTAAAAATGATAACCAAATGTTAAAGGCCCCCAAAACCAGCCTTAGTAGATTTTACCTCTAATGCCAAGGCCGTCTTGTCATATGCACAGGGTACTCTTTTCTGGATTGCTTTTGCAAAGACAGGTCCATTCTGTGTGGATGGCAAAGGGTTGATTGCTGCCCCAGGAGTACTGGAAACTGCAGGTAGAGGAGTTGTGGTCTGAGGTTGAGCATATGCATGAGCAGGTTCTGGGATCCCGTAACTGTTGGAATTCCTATTTCCATGCTTTCCGTGTGGTGAAGATCTCACAAGCTTTTCAACATAAGGGACGGGAATCATCCCAACCCGACCATCCTTGTTCCGGGCACTCCACCACTGTTCTTCAGGCTTCTCTATTATCACCAGGATCTCACCCTTTTTAAAGGGCAGGTCTTCAGCATCATTCCCAGGAAAATCATAGAGAGTCCGTACATATTCTAGATTTTCTTCTGCTGCAGGCAGGTTGGGTGCTGATACAGGTCCCATTGGTGGGCTTGGATACCTTAAGAAAGAAAGAAAATTAAGAGAAAGATCTTACTCTATATCAGTGTTTGCCAAACTTTTAAATAAACCATTCTCCTCTATAATGAACTGATTCCCTCAATATATTCTCAGTAGTTACGAAGATTCTGTCACACTGTTGTGTGTTCTATAGCTTGTTCTGCAATGGACGTTAGTATCCTGAATGTCTTTTTAAATTACATGTCAAGTGCATACACACACAGACAGCCCATCTCTGTTTTATAGGAACCTTTTGTTTACACATAGAGATATACCTCTCTGAAATTAAGTTCAGTAGCTGCCTTCCTTAGGACCCTGTCACAATCACCCACTCTCTTCCTCCCACTCCCAATCTGTGTGGCATGCACCCGGCATACTTCCATGGGCATCTAGAGAAAATGACAACGGCCTCTTTGTCCCTCAAAATATGAAAAACCAAAGAAGGGTTTATACGCTTGCCAAATTAAAAACAAACAAACCCATATTGCACTTCATACAGGAATCATCATCTGGGCATCAAAATGAAAATGTGGGAAGTTTTCACTGCAAAACTCACAGGCAAGAGCTCTCATCTAAGCATCAGTCTACAGACACCAGCAGCCCCTTTTGCCTGCTCAGATTCACTGGGTACATGTCAAGTGCCCTGGAGAATGCACCCCCCCACACCCCTATTCTCCAGTAACACTCCCATCTATAATGCCCTTTGTGCCAAAGTAGTGCAGAGGTCTTCCACCTAAGACATGCTCTGGGAAGTTGCAACACACCATGTTTTGGAAAAAAATATTTTACCATTGCTTTTTTTCCTCCCCTAACTTTTCTGAAGCCCCCAATTGCCACGAGAATAACAAACCCTGGGCTTTATCCAGAGTCTGCATTGCCTGCAGTACCATCACCAGAGCTCAGTTCTGTAACAGCCCTGAGGGAGTAGGATATAGGATATGCCTGAACATAACCATGGTTGACGGTTTCCCATTTGTTTTTGTTTTTTTTTTCAGAACGTTGTATTTACTAGGCTCCCCCCTTCACCAAGTTCCCCCCACAATCCCCATTACAGTCACTGTCCATTCCCATTTGTTTTATCTTCTATTAGCTCATGGCCACTCTTTCTTTCCCCCAATTAATGATCTAGAAAGTTATTTCACATAATGCAATCTCTTATGTTGAAGCATTTGGATTAAAAATTAGTTTTCCTTTAAAAAAATGTTCCTATATTATAATATTCGGGGGAAAATAAAGGAAAGCAAAAGAGAAAAAAAAAATCCCATAGCCACAATTCTCCTTCCCATTTTTCACTCCTCCATAGCCAAGTTTATGGTTTTCTTAAAGAATCTTGGGTGTGCCTGTGGTGGTTTTGCTGCCTGCTATTACCACAGGCGTTTCCCCACATCACTGGTCTCTGATCACTTCAATGCAAGGTAACATTTCCTTCCCTGAGCCCGCTGCAATGACGCACCCGTGTTTTCGTTTTTCTTTCTCCCTTAGTATCACAAACTCTTTCGGGCATATGTTCCCTATATTAGATATTTTGGTAAAAGCCTAGATTCCCAGATTAAAGAACACGAACATTTTCACAGCCCTTGGTGTATACTGCCACACTAACATAATTTGGCAAAGTTCACATCTTTAATGTAAATGACTAGCTTCACAGTAGTCAGAATAACATGGTGATTAAGAGCTTGATTTAAAACCTCAGAGACCTTATTAACATGGTAACTAAGGAGCAAATTGCTTAATATCAGTACATCTAATAAGCAATAGCTGTAGTAGGAGGAGCAGCAACAGTAACAAAGAATTGATACTTATTACCTATGCTAGGCACTTCGGTTTGCAGTCTTTTTTACAGACATTACATTATTTAACCCTCACACTAATCCTGTGCAGTACATGCTGTTATTATCCCCATTTTATAGATGAGGAAGCCAACGCAGAGCTAGATCTGCATTCCGGCAGTCTGGTTTTAGAGTTCTCACTCATAACCTCTAAGCTGGTCACCCTCAGGAATAAATCCTGCATCTTTCTGATGTGTGAGAATTAATGTCAAATTGTGTATGAAACATTCACGAGTTCCTGATCAGTACTGAGCAAACAATTAGCTCCTCACTCCCTTTAGGGTACACCCCTGTTCCTATTTCAGAGGCTACAGAGATTCTGCAAAAAGTTTGGACTGTACTACTTAAATCGCAGATATTTTACTAAGAGCACACCAGTTTCATCTCAGACCCCAGGGTATTTTATTGTTTTATATGGTTAAAAGTTAAAAGCAGTTCTCCAACAGATTGTGAGGACACTACTGCAGCTTCAGCAGGGACTGACAGTAATGAAATCTACTTACCCAGGTATCTACTGGCTTCCCTATATACTATGAACTTAAATTAAAACCAAGTTCCTGCTCTTGAAAGACTGCCAATTTAGTAGGGGCAGAGACTGAAAGGCAAATAAGAACTCAAAGTGTAATTAACAGGTTTCTTGACAGCAGTTGATAGGGTCAAGGAACACTCGGAGTAATTTCTGTGAAGAGTCAGAACAAGCATGGAAACCACCCAAAAAACTGAAGGCTTGACCCTTTGAAGCTGAAAAATGTCATTGAAGACAGGCTTACAAATTTTCGTTCTGCATCAGAAAAAGACTATAAAGGCCAAAGGTTCAGGCTCTCCCTTCCCCAACCTTCCCATAGCTCCTGGGGCACACTGCTGTTCCCACAAACACAGACTGGGAGCTTTGCTGGTGAGGCCCTCTAGAGGCTGGCAAACTTTTCTAAAAGGCTGTTACATGTTTGAGGCTGAGAACTACATAAGGCCTTTGTCCTATTTTTTTTTTTTTAATCCAACCCTTCAAAAATTAAATAACCATTCTCAGCTGTAGTACACTACATAAGAACTGTTATTCTGGCGTAGGGACCACAAACTGTAGCCTGTGGGCAATTCGGCTTACTGCATGGTTTTGCAAATAAAGTTTTATTAGAACACAGCCAAGCCCATTCTCTTGTGCATTGTCTATGACTGCTTTTGTGCTATAAGGGCACAGCTGATTAAGTTGTGACGGAGACTACATGGTCCACAAAACTTAAAATATTTACTATCTGGCCTTTAGTGAGAGTTTGAGTTTGCTGATTTCTGGTCTAGATTACTGGGTTAAAGGAGGCAGAGAGTGCTTTTCAACTTTCAACACTGCTCTGGTGAGGGGTGTGTATACAAATCTGATAAAGATGGAAGACAGCTTATACTTTCTCCACCACTATATTGCTATAGTGCCCCCGAGGTTCATTTCCTGATTCAGTACTTGCCTAGATATCCCTAAATTTAACATCAAATAAATTTTCCGACATAAATTCACATAAAGTCACATTTCCGACATAAATTCAGTCTTCCACCCCATATTCTCAAACTTTTGTATTCATCAAAATCCCTGCAAATTACATTAGTTCCGCTGTAGAGATGAAATTATGGTGATGCCAGGTCAGGTATCCTGCCCTTTCTATTAGGCCCTACTGTCCAAAGAAATATGTACTATAAAATTGGAACAATTTATTGTTTCTCAATCATCTCAGTTTGTTTCTTGATCAAGAATGTAAATAGCAGCCATCAGCCCCCCTTTAAAGTTTAAGGAAGAAGAGTTTTCCAAGCCCATTCAAACACACTAGACCCATGCCTCTCCCTCTCTTGTGCCTATGGTCCACAGCACTTTGAGAAGCAAAGCCCTCGATGACTGACTGGTAACTGGCTTTTCTTATCTAATGAAAATGAAACTCCCTCTTCTTGGTTAAAAGCATTCTCAGCTTCATTTATAAACCCATAGATAAAACATTTTCTTTAAACTTGACTGTTAACACCTTCTAAGTGCAAAATCTTATTCATGTTAAAAAAGCAATACAATAACTTCTGGGGGGAGAGAGTTCTTAAGGTACTGGTGATGTTCTAGTTTTTTAAAGAGGGTATATGGATATTGAAGATTTTTCTTATTACGTACAAGTACACACATAATATACATGTACATACTCTCTCGTATGTATGAAATGTTTCACAATAAAAAGTTGGAAAACAAAACAAAATACATGGTAAAAGAATCAATTTCCAGAAGATTGGCTATGGTAGAAACTGCCTTTTTTTTAAAACCACTCAGTGGCATTGAATACTGAGGACTCCTTTCCATCTCTGGGCATTCCCACCATCACTAGTGGCTCTCCTAGGCCTGTGGTTCCCTCTCCACCCCCTTCCACAGGTCCTCTTACTCTGCTCATTTTGGGGATTCCATCCCAGCTAAGACCCCCAAATCTATTTAGCCTCCAACTCTTCTCAATAACAAACCCACCAGATTTTTCAATCTAGCTTCCAGCAAGCATTAAAAAAGAAAAAGAAAAAAGATTCTCCCTGTTGAAAACAATCATCCCCCTCACCCTGATCACTTTTTTTCTTCTATTCTCTCAAGACATCATCCAATCATCCCTCAAGCACATAACCTCTTCCCTCACCTACCTGCAATTGCTCAGCAAAGGCTGCCAGTTTCTACTTTATATTCCCAAAGCATTTGATTTCAGCTCAGCTTCTCACAATCCCTTCTCCTCTAAGTCTTTAATTGGTCCCACACTCCAGATTCTCACCCTACCCAGTTCCACACTATAGCCATTTCTAAAAAGTAAAACTGACCATGGCAATTCTCTTCTTAAAAACTCCCACTGTTAACTTAGCATTATTCTTCCTCCCTAGCTCACTGCCCATCACTCCCATTATTACCATTCTATGCCTTTCCGAGCCAACCCTGCCACTCTCTGTTCTACCTCTTGCACTTATTCTCATCCTTCAAGAATCAGCTGAAAGAGTACCTACTCTTTCTAGCCTTTCCTGGTCCCTTATTGATTATTCTTGCTTTTAAGCTTTTTAATTTGTTCAATATACTGAGCTTCTCAAAAGGCTAGAATCATGGTTTACTCCCATTACATGCCTTGAGTGTAGCACTGGGCTTTGATGGAGAGTAGCCTCAATATATTGAAATTCTTGCTAATAAAATTTAAATGCTTAAGACACAGGGTAGCCTTTCCCATTCCTGTCTGTATCTTTTTTTTCCTTCTGAAAACACAAAAGCTTTGGCACTCCAATTCCCTAACCCTGGTTTAATTCTGTTACATAGACAAGGAAACCGGTGCGCCACCTGGTTTGCCATCTGAGCCTTTCGCCTCACACTGTCCCACTGGAGCTCTCAGCCATCATTCCAGACTAGTTGCCACATGCCTGGTGGCCCCACCTTATTTGTTATGATCTCAGTTCAACCTAACCTCTAGGATAATCTGAACTCCCACTAATAAGTACAGCTCCTTTTTACTTATCAGAACTAAGACATTTTACCCTGAAGGAACCTTAGAAATAATCCAGTCCAGCTGTTCAGATCAAAAGGAAGATTCTTTCTTATGTAAAAATTTCTCTGGATTTGAGTCTTTAACAAGCGACAAGTCACAAATCACATGGCTACCAGTACTTTACTTGCCATAAAAACACAACACTGAACTGGACGAGCTTTCATTCCGAGCATAAATGATCTTGTATAATGTTCTTGTATCTCATCTGAATCAAATTTAAATGACTTAAACTACCGGTAAGAAGAAACTCATTCTCAGTGTCAAATTCTGTGCTAATCAAAATTACTGGTAATGCTTCTCCCCTACTTCTAATTATGAAAGTCCAGATTTGAGGTTCCTGAATTATTTAGAGCAGGGGATGTGGAAGGTGGTGTGACCATGCTGCCTGTGGTATCCTCTGGTCCATGCAGAGCCTGGCTTCGCCTCACAGGTGTGAGGGTGCTCTGGGTGCTCAGGTTAGCTGGGCATCCTTTTTTGGTTCTCCCACAGCTACTTTACCCTGTCAGGTAGCATGGAAATGGCCTTTTAAAAAACCTCAGTAAACAGTATGCTCCTCAAGAGCATAAGGGACTGTTGATTAAATGTTAGTTCCGTATTATCAGGTTACCGTACTACATGCAATGGACAATGTCCACTGAGTAAAAAAAATCGAGATTTTTCTCTAAGGCCAATTTGCCCCAGTTTTAAAATTTTTACATCTCATGATTTTCCCCCTAGCCTTCATGTAAGCTAGAACTGGGGAATTTTATAAGCAAAGAAAGCTACACAAAATCCCCATTTCTAAACCATCAGAAAATGTATTTTGTATCTAAACAACCCACCCAGAAAGTTCTGAAACATTCTATTGTCAAACTGGAAATAGCCTCTATTAAATTAAAACAACAACAACCAGTGATTACCTGGACACTAATCATAACCTAAAAGACAAACTCTTAAAAAGGTTTATACTCAAAATGGAGGCGAAAAACACCACAGGATTTATCAAATGATGTGTAATATAAAAATTACACCCGTATGCAGAAAGAGAATCCTTCAGGGTAATTCAAAATCAATAAAAAACCTATCTGACGTGTTGTTTTGGGGGGATTATACTGAAAATTAACTACAGAAATACCACAAATACAAAAGGCAATTAATAAGATAAACATACAGGGCACAAAGTTACAAATATACCAAGTCATCTTTGTTTCTTTCTCTTCCCTCAGTTGTCCCCCTTTCCATCAGCAACATCAATCTTATCTCCAAAATAGGAACTCCACCCAGCTCTGCCTCTGTCTCTACGACCTATGATGGATGTCATTAGTCACCATCATTTTGCACCTGGATTACAGTAATAGCTCCAGGTCATGCCCCTGTCTCAAACTCCTTCCATGGCACCCACTGCACTTTAAATAAAATCCAATTTCCTTGACCATTCTATCTCCAAACACTTTTTTTATGACCCTCCTCTTCTTGAAGGACCACGCAGCCAACACACTGGCTCTTTCTCACCTTACTTTGTCTAATGTCTAAGTTCTTTCTTATTCTTGAACGACTCTGCATCTACTCTTAGCCCAAGCCTTCTTTCCTCCCCTAGGTAGTTTCATGCTTTCTGTGACCACTCTGGGTCAGAGGTAGGTCCCTTCTACTACATAATCTCCGATTAGATTTCCTTCACAACACTTATTTTGTTTTATTTCTTCTTCTACTTCCTAGTCTGTCTCGTCCTCTAAAATGTAAGTCCCATGATGGATAAAATAAGTCTGTCACCCGGCCTTCCCAGAACCTATTGCTGGGATATAATTCTCTGGTAAATATTTGAATAAAAATACAAAATTAAAATAAAAAGGTTGGACTAGAATAACAAGCACTGATTCTCAATTCTGAGAAAGTCATACAGATGCGCTTTTGCTAAGCAGAACAACAACAAAATGAACTATTAGCTAAGGGGCATGAAACTCTGCCTTTAAGAGCTCAGTTTTAATGCCTAAAAAACTAAATCACTTATTCTATTTAGGACGGGAAGACGCATTGAGCTGATTTTTGCATTTGGTCAAAGCTGTTCTAGCCGCTAATTTTCCACAAAGACTAAAAAACACATCAAAACAAATCTGTGAATTTCAGGCTTGGGAGAGGCAACCCAAGTTCAATATAACAAAATAAATCCAGTCAGGGTCTAATTCAACTCGCACTGTGACTGTGCACTGACTGCCCTCCAATATACGAGGGAAAATGGAAAACTAAATTATAGCAACATGCCTGGGGCGGGGAGCAGAGAGAAAGAAAAACCATTAAAGCTGAAGGTGAGGGGGAGGGTCAGGGAAAGGCCTTATTATTTACCAGGAACCTGGAACAGCAGGTAGGATTTCATAGGTGGGGAGTGGGGTGGGGTTAGGCTGTAAAGAGCCAACAGTCTGAGCAAAGGTACAAAGGTGTGAGTAGGAGCACAGGGATGGCTGCCAGGGAATGAGTGGCCTAGTGGGGATCCACTACAGGAAAGACAAGGAACCAAAGACACAGTTACGTGTGCTATCTGGGAAGACCCGTGTGCGGAAAATTTGGAGCTGTTTTTATAGGGAGTGGGAAGCCACTGCAGCAGATTTCCTTTTCTCTCTCTAGAATGGGAGCAGTCATTTACTCGACACTTTTTGAAACAGCTGTATTATATAGTACCAGTCACCTCAAAATAAATACAACGCTTTGTACATACAAGCTTAGGGGATGCCTGAAATTAACGATATAATTCAACTTCTCAAGTTAGGGAAGTAATTTACTTAAACATATTATAAACTTCATTAGGGTAGGTTCTAAGATTCTCCCCAACCCCTTATTCTGTGCTCAGAGTTGCCTCCAATTACAAGCATCTTCAGGGACTTGGAGATTCACCAGTAAGATTCTTGGTGTCTAGGTCTTTGTTACATAGTATCTGATTTATAATCACTTTCTTCCAGTTTTTAAAGTCCATTTAGTTCAGTAGTTAATCTTACAGTCATTATACTGTCCTGACTTTGTTTCTTTATCTCTATTCCACAGAAGCAACACTAAGGTATCCAGTGGGTACTCCTTAATTATAATAGCTTTTAATGGTAAAAGTCAGGGTAATATTTTGTCAGCAAATCTAAAGACAGAAACACTCATTCCGAAAAAATCTGTATTTAGCACCCTGTCCTTTTAAAACAGACGCTGAACAAATTGAACAGTGAAATAACTTTTATTTTTAAAATTCTAGGGAATTTCTTCAGCTCAGACTTGGCATAATTAAAATAAAAGAAACCTCTGATAAAACATTTAGGCAAATTAAAGCAAATAAACGAAATAATGCACCTTACTTGAAAAAAGGATATCTGATGCTCAGGGTCACTTTGTGTTCGTAACTTTAAAAATGATACTAAATCATTAGGTTTAATACAAAAAATACATCAGACACCGAAGATAGAATTAAGATGTGTCATTCAAAAATTTCCCTTAACAAACATTTTAGCCTTATTCTTCCTTGGAAGATTTCTAGCCTATTCAGCCTGCGGGAAAACTATAAAATAAAAACTCATATAAATGTCCTCAGAGACGCCAATGCATCTTCTTTTAAAATTTTTTGTAATTGACGTATTACAAAATAGGTGTCTATCTTACTTCAAAATTGGCAACCAGCTATCAATATACAGTCCTGATATTTCACAATCTTTTTGTCTCTAAAAGCTAAAGCATTTTCGTTTGTCGATTGTTCTAAAGGCTGCAGTCCAGAAGTTCTTAACCTGGAGTTCAGAGATCTGCTGGGAGTCCAAGAACCTTGAATGGCGTGCACACTTGTGTGGACGTGCGTTTTTGAGGGGAGGATGCCACGGCTGCCCTCGGATTCTCAAACAGCCCGTGGTCCGTAAGGGGTTTAAAAACAACAAAACCTTGCTTCGGTAATGATAACCGAACAGAAGAACGTGACGGAAGGCAAGAGGCATACATGTAACTGCGCAGCCGCCGTTAACGCGTTTTGAACTGCATCCCCTCATCCAGTGACCCAGATCCCGACACCGCCCTTTCGCCTGGAATGCGTTCTAGAAAACAACTTGGTTCAGAATGGGGAGAACCGGGTTCAATCTCTGCGCCCTCCTCCCCACCGCTCACATTTCGATGGACCCCCAGCGAATCGGCCGGGCCGTTCGCGACCCTCCTCCGCGGGGGCGGGGGGCGCTCGCGTACCTGGGCGCGGGCTCGATGAGGGTGGTGGTGTCCAGGTAGTGGATCTTGTAGAACTCCAGCAGGGCCGGCAGGTGGTCAAACTCCTGGTCTCCGATTTTAAAACGGCGGTTGGGCAGCGAGTTGATGATGTAGTGGGAGACGCGCGAGTTCTCGGACACGGACAGCACATAGTCCCCCGGGCAGGTGGAGGAGTCGCGGACCAGGAACACGCCGTGGCGCTGGCCCTGGAGCCGGCTCTGCGCCTCCTGGCGAGACACGGGCCCCATGTACCAGGCGGAGCGGTCTGAGGAGTCGAACCTGGCGGAGGACATGGTGTCGGGCCGCGGCTCTGCGGCGGGTGGGGCGGCGGCTCTCCTCGCCCGCTCCGGACACCTCAGCCCGACGGACGGCTCTGGGGCCGAGGAAGGGCCTCTCGGCACGCCCCGAGGCGCTCTCACAGGGCCGCGCCGGCACCTTCCCCTCAGCTCTGGGCCCGCAGCATCCTCCTCCACCGCCGCCCGACTGCTCCGGGGCCGCCTCACGCGGGGAGCCGGCCCGGGAAATGAAGGGCAGAGCCCGGGGTCGGGGCCGGCCAAGCCGCGCCGCAGCGGAGGCCGCCGAGGGGGTTTCAGAGCTGCCCGGCGTACCGGGGCTGCCTGCAGTCACTCTTGGCCTGGACCGCGCCGACTCCGCTCCCCCACGGCTCTGCACGAACCCAGCCGCCACGCGAAGCACCGGACTCCAAGGAGCGTCGCGCCTCCCGGGCGATTTGACCCAGCCCGTTCCCAAGAGCCACAGCAACAAAATGGCGGACGCGGGAGAAGCGGCCGGCCACCTCCCCCTTCGCTCAGCGCGCTCCGTGTGCGCACGCGCGGGCTCCGGCTCCCAGCTGCCGCGGGGACCCTCCCCGTGACGCCGCATGGCGCGGCCAATCAGGAGCGCGGCCGTGACGGTCTGGGCGTGCGGCGCTCGCCGCAGCTCCCGCGTTCCGGGAGGAGGTGGAGCAGGCGACGGCGGCGGAGGGCACTCCCTTCCTGGGCCGCGGTGCGCCGCCGGGGGCGCTGCCGCTGCCGGGTCTCCCCGCGCTAGCAGAACAGCTGGAGCCGAGGGGGAGCGGCATTCCTAAAACCTGCTCTGGAAACAAAGCATGACGTGCAGGCCGAATCTGCGGCCAGGGAGGCGTGGCCCCGAGGTGACCAGGCCGGCTGAGGGGCCCGCACGCACCCGCGCTGAGGGATCCCGACGGGCGGACAGGCCCCGAAGGGCCGATGTGGCTCGGGAAGGGGATGACCATGTGGGAACGTGGTGACCTAGACCCGAAGGACCCTGAGTGGCCAGCTGACCCGACAGGCATAAGCGTTGTGAAGGCTGGATTGGCAGGGTTAAGGGGTTTAGGGAATCTGCACTGAGGTAATGTGGCGGTCACTAGCTTTGACTGATGTAAGTGAAATGCAAACGCCTCTCGGGCGTGGCCTGAACGCCTCGTCTACTGCGGATTCTGCCTGCTTCTCAGAGTCAATCTTAACGCCTCTTTGCTCCTCCCCCGCCACCCTTGCCCTCCCAGTCTGTCGTTGTCCCTGCCCCAACACACTGTAGAACGTAAATTTTAAGGGAGCGGGGATTTTATCTGTCCTGTTCACTCCTGGGCCTAGCATAACGCCTGGCCCTGAGCTGATGCTTAAATATTTGTTGCATGAATGACAATTAAGATAAACCACCAGGCTACTGGTGCCTGATTATTCATAGCACCACCCCCGGAACCGGACAGACAAGAAGGTGTGTCCAAAAGGAGAAGCAGGCATTACGGACCATACTTAGATCCCTCTGTCGAGGGAACTTCATTTTGACCTTTTGCTCCCCACCCCCCCAAGTTGAACATATCCCAGATTGTACGGTGATAGGTGATGTCCCTTCTAGGGTAAACTAAAGGGGAAATGTCAAGGTCTAGTGCCTCTTGTGACTCAGCCTGAGCAGGTTTTCATTTCCTCCCCCAAATACTTTCATGTTGTATTAGTCTCGGGTACCATTTGAATAGCACAGAATTTGAAGCATGCTGCTTGGATTGGAGTCCAGGCTCAGTCAATTGACTAGCTGGTTGACCTTGAGCCAGTTAATCATTCCATGCCTCATATGTTATTAAACAAGCTAATACATGTAAAGTGCTTAGAATAGTGCCTGGCACATATTAAGCATGATATAAGAGATTTTCATTATTATTATTCAGCCTCTTTCTGGGCTTCTACTTCCATAGCCTAAAAGTTCACAGAGATCTCACAGTGGGTGGATGAGAGTGGGAATAACAATCTGCATTTGATTTTCTGGCAACTTTTCACTACCGGATTTTCCACTTCTTCTTCACCCACTCCTTGTCCAGCCTTCTTCATTTCGTTTCTACCCTTACTTTGACTGAAACTGGTCTCTGGGGACCATCACTAAGCTCCTCAGAACTTACCAATTTCCTTGATCTTCCTGGCCCTATGTAATTACATATGTTGAACATTTCTTTCTAGAAAGACTTAAAAGAATTTTTTTTAAAGCTCTTTAGTCACAAACAGTTTCCTTTATCTTGACAGATACTCTTCCTCAGCCTCTTTCTAGAGCACTTTGTCTACAACCTTTAAGGGTAGCAGCTTAGTCCTTACCCTCCGGACAGCTCTCCCTTTGGGAGGCTGATCACGAAGGTTTTAGGAGTCACCTCTCCAGTGGTGATCCGAAACGAGTATCTTCCAAAAGTAGAACAAAAGCGAACTGTACGCATGATTACTACGCAAACACTGTGGTCACAGCCTAAAGTCTTAACCACATTCTATTGTAATTCTGAGTGTCTCTTCCTTCCTAGTCTGAGAATCTTGGAGGCCCACTGTAGTAAGTAGTATTTTTTGTATTCCTCATGCCTTCTGTGGTGCCCAGAGCATAATAAGTACTTAATAAATGGTGTTTGAATGTAGAGGGAAAAAGATAAGAAGCCAGAGAAAAGTGAAAATTTATTTCAGTGAAGGTAAGGAGATTGTGTAATTGTTTCCTGTTACTAGCATCATAAATGTATTTAAAATATATGTTTGGACCTAAGTTTAGCCCTGTATCTTCCTCTCTGTTTAGTCTTCCCATTTGGATTAAATTTCGCCTTTCCACGTCCGCTTTTCTGTCAATGACATCACAGTTTACCTAATTTGCAGATTCAAATCTTAGTTATTGTTTACGTAACTGAAGAACTCAATAATAATTTATATAGTGCTTTTCAATTCACAAAATTCCACATAATACATCATTTTACTCAATCTAACCAAAGTCCCATGAAGTACCCTTGATCCAGAAGCTCAGAGAGGTTAAGTGGCTTGCTTGTATTAGTTATTGTAAGTTATATAGTTTGCAGGAGACAGAGCTGGGACTCTAAAGTCAGGCCTGTTGACTCAAAGTCAGGGTTTTATTTCACTGTTACACAACTGCCTATAATTTAGTCCATTTTCTTGTTTTGCTGATAGGGAAACTGAGGCCCTCCAAAGTAAATTCTAGCACCAGAAAGGAATGTCAATGTTGGGCTAGGGAGGAATGGTTGGATTTTCTTCAGATACTGCCACTGTTCTACTGCCGAAGTTCATTACTCCCTTCATTAAAAATTCCTCTTACAGATGGGTCAAAATTCCTCTCCTTTTGCTTCAAAATAGNGGGTTCCTGGATCCAATTACAGTGTGTGTAGGGGAGAGAGGGGGATTCCTCCACACCCACACAGCACCAAGCAAGTCTTGAATACCAGCAGGGTGTCCAAGAACTCAATTTGATGCTGTCTGCCAGTAGACTGGAGCACCAGATACCCAGGTTAAGGGCTTCATCCTATATGACTGCCCTCCACCCAACCCAATTCAGCTGCCTGTTGCAAGCCCCAGGCTAATACCTGTGCTCCTGACCTACCGGCTACAGATTGGAGGTTCCCATGACCTCCCCTTTAGGTTCGATTAATTTGTTAGAGCACAAACTCACAGAACTCAGGAAGACACTTATGTTTTCCAGTCCAATGAAGGACACAAATTAACAGCCAGATGAAGAGATACATAGGGTAAGGTCCCAGATAAAGGCCTGGCCTGGTGGCACGTGGAGGTGTTCTGGTTCCCCAGGCATAGAAGCTCTCTCTGACAGAGAAGCAGGATCTCAGCAGAGAGTGGTAAGTTCTTCTCAGGGCTTTTTGTGAGGGTTTCATTGCATGGACATGATTTATTAAATTACTGGCTGTTAGCTGATTCAGCCTCTAGCCCCTGCCCCTCCAGTCGGGGTCCAGAAGTCTCTCATTAACATGAAAAAACACCCATTTCACCGTTAAGACTCTGCAGTGTCTTTAGGAACTGTGGATAAATACCAAATATACCTGGGAAATACATATTTCTTATGATTCATTATATTGCAGGGGTGTTAATTATATAACTTTTGTATATATGTTTGGAATTTTTCACAATAATATTTCTTTTTAAGTACTCTATTCCTCAACACAACTGAGACAAGCTTAGAAAAATTTTTCCAAAAAATGTTCTTAGCTGCTGTGGGATAATAAGATGGAAATGGAGATGCAACAAGGAAACAATGAAAAAAAAAAAAGCTTATGACAAAGTTTTGTGAATCTGCCTTTGCTTGCTCACTCCCAGAGCTTCCAGATGGCATTGTACTAACAGTTGCCTTCTAAGATATTTGCAATCTAGGCCCAAGGACTGACAAAGCTTTTTAAGAAAACTTGTCTGGATTCCTTACTTCCTAGACCTGAGGCTGCCTCTGTACAGAGGACACAACTTTGAGACCCACTGTTGACTTTTTGTTTTCCCCTGTCTGGGCAGGTCCAACCCTTGGTTAAGGCCAGCCAGTCTTCCTAAATTGCTGCCTGCCTGAGGACGCCAGAACAAGTGCCTGTCCCTTTCTCCTGCCTTTGACGTTTTTCTAGCAATGGAGCTGAGGATAGAAGAGTCGTGATCCTGTAGATGTGGAAGTACCTAATACATTTACTTCACTGACTTGATAAGGTCAGCAGTTCTCAGATACTCTCTCCACAAACATTGGTTAACCTGTTCAGTTTCTACTGCATTTATTAACCTAATTAAGATCTTTCCCTCCCATGCAATAAAATTTTAATCTCATTTACCAGTTCTCAGTCACTATTCCCTTATGTTTTATATCTATCTCCCTAGAACAAAAAAGGAGCTTATTATTTTCTTTTTTTCCTCCTATTACTTTGCTACTGCAATCAAGTAAAATATTGTCCCTATCCCCCTTGTAATTTTCCACAGCAAACTATTTAAAATACCAACTTAATAAACACTTCTTTCATAGGGTGATATCTCTGAACTAGGCGTAGCTGCCATATCCAGAAGCTTTACTGACCAATACGGGAAGCACTGGCCTGCTCTGTCCCCGTGTTTGGTGTGGTCAGGATCCCTGTGCCATTATCTAATGCAATTTTAATGCTCTCACCTCTTTTATAAAATGTCCACTTTTGTCACTTAGCTATTTGTGGGCTGAAAGGCAAATTTTCTTGTTTGCTGTGAACTGTAGAGCTCTGTGGAGTATCATTAGTAAAATTCTGAGCAGGATGATCCTTCCCTAGGGGGTACTGATTCCCTCTTACACTTATCTCAAATAAGTCAGTTTTATTCTACCCTTCAGACCAGGGGTTTCCAATTTTTTTTAAGGCTTTTTAGGCTAAGAGGAAAATCAAGAATACTATGTAGGTACTTGTATAACAGGAGAAAAATGCTATCAATCCCTGAACATGATTTCAATTAAGTATATTCATTGTTAGATTACATGTATAGAATTCTATTAGATTCTTCTCCTGATACTCGCCTTTTAGCTTGTTACATTGGAGAATCATCCTCCTCTTGCAGCTTAGGTGGAAGCTCCTCAATTGCATAATGAAATGGATTTTGAGATACTGGAAATTTCCATTGCACTTGGCATCAAGTTCTGAAAAATGCCGGTGGAAATATAGTTTAGCTCAGAAAGTGTATCTGTTGCAAAGTTGTGTGGACATAAAGATCTCATTTCAACTTTTGGCAGCATAGGAAGTTTCTAAAGTGGTGTAAAGTAAGATTACTTGTGATTCAAAACTACATCTTTATCGTCAAAATGACTTTGCTTTAGTATACATTTCACATACAAGCACTGTATTGCCCTGTAATTTTAGGTTGAACTCACTGAGAAGCTATCAAGCCTGTAGCAAAAACGAATTCCCAAGCCATAAATTATCCATAGTAATAGCTTAGAATGGCTCTCTGTTCTGAAATCTTTCCATCTTGGCTCTGAGTGGAAAAAACTGCAATGAAACTTACCACTGCTAAGCCATTAAATGCTGTGTGGTAGGGTCATTTAGGGTCTTCAGCTTCTATTTCTAACAAAAATTCGTAGACCTGATGGTGGTCAAATATGAAAGCAAATCAAGTTCACTGCTGGTAATTCTAGTTCAATAACACACGATAGATTCAAACATTCTTGTGCACGTTAGCTCCTGATGAATAATTAGAAGTCAGTGAATAACCATAGGCTTTAAGTACCTTACATTTTCAGAGCTTTATAAATTTGTCCAACTAAGCCTTTTTCTGCTTCATGCATTTTTACCTCCCTAATTTGTTAACACATCGTAACAAATCACTCAGGTTGTATCTAATTGGTGTTTTCTCAACTTTGTGGAAAATGCTCTTGCCTGTAATTCTATGCAGACTCTTCAAAGCAGCTTATTCTTCAGTGACTTCAGACTCAGCATTGACACCTCAAATAAACAACAGCAACAGAGCAGTTTCGTTAACATCTAACAACACATTGATAAGCAAGGAAAATCATTCAAAATCATGTGTCTTGTTGTATTAGGAACATCTAATCTATATCCTTCTTCTGGCCAAGGGGACTTCAGTATTGCTACAGCTGCATATAATCTGAATTTACAGATGATTTCCCCTTTCTCTCTTAAAACCAGCATTTTATGTGTGTATTAAAGTTTTTATTCTGTTACTGTCAGAATAACAAGAGGAATCGTCCATTTTTCCAAGTTTTATTTGCACTTCTAAATTTCTAATTCTTACCAATGTTATCATGACAATTTTTTTATGGTTATTACCTAGGTCCATGTATAGATGTATCTGAGATCTTTTTTTTTGCCCTTTCCCCAAGTTTTTTCTCTTTAAATGTACAGGTACCTTGGTGAGGAAGCAGAGCATAATGGCTTATTTATATTTTGAAAAGTACAGGACTAGAATAACTCAGACTCAAGCCAAAAGTAAACAGAAAAGGACCTAGACCCTCCCAGTCGGCTCTGTCTCTTGGAATATATATTTGATTTGTGAATAATATTAGCTCTGTTGTAGATAGCAAAAAGTGGTTACTTAATTATATAGTTTCTGAATCTTTACACACTTCCAGGGAGTGTGTGTGGAAATTGGGAAAACAAAACAGAATAAAAACAACTTCAAAAAAAGAACCAGGATCAAGGAAAAATTGGTATGGAGACACGGGAGACAGACCTGTAGAAAAGTCAACAACAAACAACAACAAAAACCCTTAAGTCAAAGGGCTCATTGGAGTCCATTCTCTGCTCCTAATGGAGTGATTCTAAGCTGCCATCTTTTTTTCTTGTTCTTTTTACCTTTTAACTCCTTTCACTCATTTGTCCCACCCACCCCTCATCCCCTGTCTCTGGTGACCACCAGTCCGCTTTCTGTATCAATGAGCTTTATTTCATTGTTGTTTTTTATGTTTTACATAAAGGAGAGATCATATAGTGTTTGTCTTCCTCTGTCTGATTTGTTTTACTTAGCATATTGTTTTAAGTTCTGTCTATATTGTTGTAAATGGCAAGATTTCAGTTTTTTATGGTTGGTATGTATATTTCTTTATCCATTCATGTATCAGTGGATCCCTGGTTGTTTCCATATGTTGGCTTTTACAAATAATGCTCCAGTGAACATGGGGTGCAGATAAATTTTGGAGTTATTGTTTTCATTTTCTTCAGATACTCAGAAGTGGAATGGATAGATCCTATGGAACTACAGTTCTATTTTTAATTTTCTGAGGAAACTCCATACTGTTTTCCACAATGGCTGCACCCGTTCCCACCAACAGTGCCCAAGGGTTCCCTCTTCTCTACATCCTCAACACACTTGTTATTTCATGTATTTTTGATAAGAACCATCCTAACAGTTACAAGATGATAGCTCACTGTGGTTTTGACTTGCATTTCCCTGATGATTAGTGATGCTGAGTGTTTTTTCATATACCTATTGACTATCTGTGTGTCTTCTTTAGAAAAATGTCTGTTCAGTAGCCAAAGCAATCCTGAGAAAGAAGAACAAACCTGGGGGTATTACGCTCCCTGACTTCAAGCTATACTACAAAGCTACAGTAATCGAAAGAGTATGGTACTAGCACAAGAGCAGACTCATAGATCAATGGAACAGAATAGAGAGCCCAGATAAAAACCCAAGCATATATGGTCAATTAATAAAGAACCCATGAATGTACAATGGGGAAAAGATACCCTCTTTGGTAACTGGTGTTGGGAAAACTGGACAGCTGCATGAAGAGAATAAAACTGGATTACTTCCTAACTCCATACATAAAAGTAAACCTGAAATGGATCAAAGACCTGAATGTAAGACATGAAACTGTGAAAGTCTTAGAAGAAAACATAGGAAAAAAATCTCTTGAACATAACCATGAGCAATGTTCTCCTGGACACATCTTGGGCAAGAGAAAGAAAATAAAAAATGAACAAGTAGGACTACATCAAACTAAAAATCTGTATAGCAAAGGACACCATAAGCAGAACAAAAAGGCAACCTACAGTATGGGAGAATATATTCATAAATGGTTTATCCAATAAGGAATTAATGTCCAAAATATATTAAGAACTGACATGCCTCAACACCAAAAAAAACACAACTCAATTATCCCCCTGCCCATGGGAGCACGTCCTAGCAGTCTAAGCCAACTGTGGTCCATGGGCCAAATGTAATTGACCACATTTTGTTCTGTGCATGAATGAGTTGGTTTTACATTTGTAAGTGGTTGAAAAGCTTTCAAAGAACACTAGTTTTTGACAAGTGAAAATTATATGAAATTCAAATGTCTATAAATAAAGATTTATTGGAACACAGCCACTCTCACTTATTTACATATTGTCTCTGGCTGCTTTTGTGCTGTAGTGGCAGAGCTGAGCAGTTGTAAGACTGGCCAGAGTCCTTTACAGGTTGCCGAGCCCTCATCTAGACGGCGCTGCCATGCGGGCAGGAGGTGGGAGGCAGACGGGAGGTGCACTTGGAAACATGAACCGTGAGGTCTCCAAGAAGGAAGCTGCTCGGGGGGCTACACGGGCAGCGAGGGCCAAATGCGGGAAGGCTCATCCAGGAGGATCCCCTCCCCAGCTCTTCGAAAAGTGACTGCACAGGAGACAAAATCTGATTGAAAAACTTCACATTTTATTTTATAGGCTGTGGTCATTTGTCGAGTTGAAGGCATGGAGCATTAAGAGCTGTTCTGATAGACGCTGAACCCAAAGCCCCCCTTCCATGAGCACTTGTAACGAGTAGCTCATCATTCTGTACACAAAACATTTCAGTCACCAGTGCTGAAGATGTTTAACACTGGCAACTTAAAATTTTGAAGAAAAGGCCTATATAGACAAACTATAAGCTTTTTACTAAATTGCTGTAGTGTACACTTAAAATCAGTCACAAAAAGATGTTAAAGAGAAATTAAAATGCACTTACTTAATTTTTTCTTGCCACCTGAATTCAGTTCAGTCCCCTCTCCTAAGGAATGCAACAAAGACAAGGCAAACCCAATGCTAAGTTGCCCATCCGTAGATGTTAGACAGTTTCCTCTAAAAAATGCACTTATTTTTAAGTTAGTAGCACACTTAACCAATCTAAAGTTAGAAAAGCCACTTTTTTGAAGGCACGGTTTGTTTCCAGCTGACTGGAAATAAAAACGTCTCACAGACCCCATCTGGCAAGGGCGAGTCCACTGGTCTTGTTTGTGTCACCAAACTCACCCCACAGCCAGTCCCAGGCGGGCACCTCGGTGTCTCCATGAGATAGATGTGTTTAGTCAAGAGGGTAGAATGTTTTCTTTTTGATCATAATCATCATGTGCAAAGATTCTGGAGGCTCCTCAGGTCCTCCCTTGTTTTCTGGAAACGCAAGCCAAGTTTGCTCTATAAAGTAGAATCACAGCCAGTCCTTCTGATGTGGAGCAGGGCTGAAGACCCAGCACAAAGAGCCTGCTGGCCAGCATGGACGGCCCCTTGGCCAAAGCCACGGAATGGGCAAGAATGAGCAAAAAGTATGAGGCCTCTAATGTCGGAAGAGAAATGTCTAGAAAAGTGAAGGTAACGATGCTTGCAGTGGGGGAATTACGAAGGGGGGTGATTGGCATCATCAATCCAACAAAAGGCTGGAAAGGTACGTAAAAAAAAGGTGCTACTTTGCTTCAAATCAGGTTAAATCGCTAATCCCATTCTGCGAATCAAAGTCCTTGGAAGAGAATGTTGGGCGGTGGCCTTTCCATGTTACTGAGTTGAAGGTCTGAAGTACGACTAATGGCTAAGAGGCTGTGCCTGACGGTGATGAGCGGATGTAATCATTAGACAGGAAAGGAAGATGCTGGGAAAAACCGAAAACCACTAGAACGAGTGGAATTGTACCTGCAGGCTGCTCTGTGTTCTGGTTTTGTGCTTTTCAGTGGCTTTTTTGTGGCAAGCCCTGTGAACGCATTTAGGTTGGGCTAGGTATATTTTTAACATTTTTCCTTTTACCAGTTATCAAGAGAATGATCCTGATGAGCTTATCTGATAAACGTTTAATTGATGACCTTCACATCCTCACATTCCGGGATGTTCATAATGAGGACGGCACTCCTGAGGTGGAACGTGGCAGGCAGTTGTGTCTGCACAACTGTCAGTGTCGGGGACCTGTCTGTTTTTAGGAATGTCAGGCGTTATGAGATGAACTTTTACAGACAAATTGCTACGCAATCTCTGATGCACTGTCGTAGCACTTTAAAAATATTTCCTTTGCTTTAGGGGACTTGGTTTATAAGCTCCAGAACCAAAGTAGTGAAGGCCAGATAGGCAGTTGCCATGTTTCAAGATGAAATGCACTGTTTTTTTAAAGTTTCCCACCTAACCTGTATTATTAAAATCAGTCCTTTTCACCATCTTCAAAACATTTTAATTAATTTGCTTTTTAAAAAGACAAGGGCAAAGGCCTTGTGGATTCAATTATTTTGTTGGAGGTTCCAACACAAAGAAACTCATTACAGAAATCAATTTTAATTAATGCTTTTAAGTGAATCTTATTTTTGTAAAGTCAAAGTAAACAAGCTGGGCCAATTAAAATGATGATATCCAGGCTTTTTTTTAAAAAGCCAAATTCCTCTATGCACAGTTAGCATCATTTGTGGAGTTCCAGTCCTAAAATTGGATGGCAGGGGACCAAGTGACAAGTCAGGGTGTTTGGCAGGACGTGCAGAAGAGCGGGTGGGAACCCTGGACTGGTCAGGGGACTCCGGGCACTGGCTGTGCACTGCCACCTGAGGCCTGGCCAGGGTACTCCCGGGGGGGTGGAGGAAGAGCTCTGCTGGCCTGCGTGTGACACTCCCTTCCCATCAACACTAACAGGGCCTTGGGCCAGTGGAGAATCTGCAACTAACCACAGAAAGAGGAGAGGGCTCATGGGGAAGTGGGCTCCCCCAATTCCCTATGTATTTCTAGGGTCACAGTGAGCAGTGCTGGTGTGAACCCCTCCTACTGGAATGAGTGACAGGGACAGAGAGGGGGAGAGGTGACATTTGTCAATCAAACAGCAAAGAATGCTGATACGATCCATTTCTGAATCTAACGCTGATTCTTTTTTTGCAGGGGGTGGCGGTTTGGGGGAATCACAATATGCTGTGTGTGGGGGGTGGGCCGGGGGGTGGTGGTCAGGGTGTTGACTGCTAAACACAGACAACTGGCTCACACCCCATCCCTTAGCACTCTGACCCATGAGAAGGCTTAGGAATGAGAAAGACAGCGATCAGGGAAGCACAGGTGGCAGTTCCAAGACGGAACTGCCAACAGCTTTTCATATGCTCAGTAAGGTGAGAGATGCAGAGTGACCTCCTTCCAGCAGAGTGATCAAAGGCCTAGGACAATTCAGGGCCAGGCTACCGTGCTGACTGAAACTCTAAAGCATTTAGTTCAAAGAAGTGAGAGGTGTTGGCAAAACAAAAAGGTGGGACATAGGCTTCCCACCAACAAAATCTCTGAAGACCCACTCTATTATAACATTTGCAAACATGTTAAATGACATACTAAAAGCAAATGAAATGTCTTGGGATTTAAAAGATCTTTTGACTCTTTTCACCACAGGAGTGGACATCCTTCTCGGGATTCTCTTTAAAGCTGTCGAACTTTTCTTTCTGTGCCTTTTATATTGATGTCTAACTTGTCCACTTTGGTGGTGAGGCGGTGAAGAATGTCGTCCTGCTCCTCGATTTCTGTCTGCATCCCCAGGGCTATGTCCTTCAGCCGGCCCAGGCCCACAGCCAGCTCATCTGCGGGAGAGGGAAAAGTCAGGCAGGCCCGGCACAGCCACAGCAGCGCGCGGACCGCTGCTTGCTCCCTCCCGGGTGCTCAGCCACATTTTGATCATAGAGTCTTTTCATCAAATAGGCTAAACTCTAGGGCTTTGGTTACTTTCTTCCCAAAGTATGTGCAAGTGAAAAGAAAATCTGTTCACTCAATAAAAAGTTATTATGTGCCTAATGTTAAGCCCCTCTCCAAGATAACTGCTGTTAATGGCATTTGTCCCCCCAGTGCTTTAAAAAATACATTTAAAAAAGTGCTTTAGAGCTACATAACTTTTCAGCCTTCTTTGAACCTTCTAGTAGGTTGTCGAACACTGCAAAGTCAGTTAGTACCCAAGGGAAAGAGAAGTTCAGAGGGAAGATGGGGGCGTGCCCAGAGCCACTTTCTGCCCTTTTACTAGAAACAGCAGGCTGCCAAAGAACGGAGGAAGGAGAGAGATGTGTGCTTTGTATGCTTTCTGGCTGCTGAATTAGAAAGAAAATGTTAAGCAAAATGATCAGAATGTGCAGATACTTGGCACTGACACCACAAATCTAAGCAGACTCAGGTTTGTTTTTAAAAAGCAGTTTTCAGCTCTGTGCTACTGGATTGAAACCTGCGATCTTGTATTCTATGAGAAGTAAGACCCGTGCGTGAGGGCTCTCCAGGCCTCCGGAAGCTGGTTTGCAGTCGGGACAGCAAAGGACAGGCAAACAGCTACACTGAGGTAAAACACGTGATAAAGTAAAGCAGTAGACAAGGGCAGCCGGGCACAGCCAGGGTCAGCGGGGCCCAGTCCCACACCCGCCTGTCTGGGTGTGCCGCGTGTCCCATTGCCACCTGCCCGCTGGAGCTGCACATCTCACGCCGCCAGCACACTCTCAGCCTTGGGGTTGGCTGTACTCAGCCCTTCTTCTACCCTCACTCCATGAATTCTGTACCCTCTGTAGGTCTCCCTCCACCCAGGCACCACGGACACCCTTTCCTAGAGGGCACACCTTTGGCAGGGAGGACTGAGGGCTACCAAGCTTCTTTGTGTCTCTGGAGTGGTCACGTTGGCAGATACCCCTTCTGCCTGAGGCCTCTGGATCTGGGGGCAGTGCCGGAGGACACAAGTGAGGTGCGACTGCCTGCCCAGGGATGGGCGGCGCTGAGATGGGCCCTTTGCCCTGCCGCTGGCGGGCACTGGCCCTGCAGGTCTAGAGGACAGCAGTGGGGTTCTAGGGGGTTGGAATTATGGTTGTCTACTTGTTCTTGCTTACGTGTATTCTCTACAGTCAGTGTCTTACTTCTGTGAAAATACCTTTTACTGCTTAAAAGGACGACTCTTTTCCCTGGCTCTATAATTCCATTTCTAGCAATCCTGCTACAAAATGTGGCTTAAGGTTTCCAACAGGAAAGGCCAAAGGATTCTCTGCAGTAGCCAACAATGGACATAAGCTAAGTGTCCAAGAGTAGGGATGGAACTGCTAAAGTGGCCACCTTCAAAAACATTTAAGGGAAGTGTTCAAGATGTGAGTGAAAAGGCAGGATATAGAAGTGTATGTACTGAATAATCCCCAGGACACTTGACACTGTAGATACACGTGTAAATATGTGAAAATGGAAGGAATGACACCAAATCAGTAGCTACTGCTTGACAGTGTAGGATTAAGTGTTTATTTTCTCACTTACCTAACTTAACTTCATAATTCTCTACAATGAATCTATATATTCAAAAACAGAGGTTAAATGTTATTAAAAAGAAAAAGAATACAACTTGCCTAACATGCCATCCATGCTACTTGCCCAGTGCTGCGGGAAAGGGCTCTGGTCTTGGCAAGCCAGGGGAGGCAGCGTGTCTGCTCCCAGGGGCAGCCTGCGCATGGACCCAGCGGCCCTCCTCACGGGTCCAGTCTGCCTCCCAGGAGACAGCCTCAGAGCTGGGGAAGTCTAACTCTGGGTGCGCTCAATCTGCCACCTCCCAAAGGGCTGGGGGACGGACCAGCAGCCCAGGCAGCTGCCTGCTCAAGGAGCAAGGGTCGGCGCAGGCAGTGTAGCCGAGAACCGCCTGGATGATCACAGCCACCAACCAAGGGCCGGCCTACCGCTCATGTTCACTCCTCCGCTTGAACTTCAGGTAAATGACTTCTCTTCCTTCATGAGGAAAAAAAAAATCATTGAGCCCTTATGTACCTGGCCCTGAGTGTAAAGTGGTCCATAACTGAAATAGCCCCGTGTTCTCTGGAATTTACAGTCTGGTCAAGAAGACATCAAATAAGCCATCAGATACATAATTACAACAGGAAGGGACAGGAGGCAGCCACCTTAAAGCACGGCCAGCAGCATGAGAAGCAGCCGGCCTGTGAGGAGCTACCCTTCTTGATGCAGAACGCGAAGCAAGACAGGGAAGAACTGGAAGTCGCCAAGGGATGATGGCAGGAGGGTGGGGGACAGGGTGGGCCGGAGGCTGGGGCAGGCGCCCTGGAATGCAAGGGACCTGGCTGTGTGGCTGCGTGCTGTAAATGGGGGGGTGCCAGCTCTTGGCAGGCCACGCGGTTTCCTACATGCTTCATGTGTTGCTCATGTGAACAGAGATAGTGGAATTCTTGTGCCTGGGTCACGGGGAGGAAATGGGGGCTCCATGCGGTCAGGTGGTAAAGAAGGAGTGAGTGCTGTGCGGCCCCTCAGGGACTCCTGGTCCCTGCTGCTGCCACAGTCCAGGTGACAGGTGGGATGGAGAGAAGTGGGCAGAGTCCAAAAGGGTGAGGGCATGAGCCGGCCATGACCTGTGTGGGATTTGGCACGCGGTGAGGGAGAGGCAGACACCAGGTTTTGGTCCTGAGAAACCAGGTGGCTAGTGGCATGCTAGCTGTGCTTGGCGTGAGCTGTCTGGAAGACGAGCACCCTGAACAGGTGAGCAGCAGAGGGGGGTGCAGCTTCCAACCTTACCCAGATTGTTGTCGATCTTCTGGTGATAGGCTCGAAGGTGGGCGTTCTTCGGGTAAGCCTCGGTGCCCTCAGTGGGGCCGGCCCCACCAGGAATGGAGTCTGAGTTTAGAAAGAAACGCCAGGAGAATGGTTAACTGACATCTCCTGAAGGGCCATTTCATTAAATTAATCTTAACCTGGAAAACGGGCACAAAGAGTAAGGGGTTTTGTTCGGAGGCCACCCACAGAGCTGAGTGTGGGATGGGTGAGGCGCGCAGGAGCAGCACCGGGCAGGCCGTGGGGAGTGGAAGGCCTCTGGCGATCAAAGACCCGAACCCATAGGTCATGCAGGCGCACCCTGGCACACAAACTCCGACAGAAACAGAGATTCACACAAGAAAGAGATATTCATGCAATAGGAACTGCAACAATGGAAAACTACATAGGGTCATGGACAAGATCAAGAAGATGAGGTTTAAAAATCAAAATTACTTTGTGATAGAAATGGGATTATGGGTGATTTTATTTTCCGTTTTGAAATTTATTTCTATGCTGTCTTTTCATTTCAAATGTAACAAACAAGGAAATAAGAAAGGTCAAATAACATATGTTTGTCCCAAGAAATCTTCCTTGAACTAGTTTCTAAAGGCACGTGGAAAAGCCCGTCAGCCCAGCTTACAGTTTATGGAGCAACATCCTTTTCTAGACTGACTGTATTTCCTTCAGCATCATCTACTTCAGTACCACCTTTGGCAGTCATTCTATACACTGTCAATTTTTTGGTCTTTTAATACACACCATGTGAATTAAAACTCCTTTTAATTCCTTAAAATCGTGTCTCCTGCGTACAGGGCTCCTACTGAATTTCTTCGGGTCTGCCTGCTTAGCTCTTTGCAGGCCTTATATATTTTAGTTTTCTCTCACTTCCTCATGCGGGTTTTGCTTTCCAGACTAACAGTGTCGACCTCCATCTTCCCTGACCACCGGCTCTTCCTCCGTTAGGCCTCTCCTCAGCCATGTCAACCACAACAGTTCTTCCAGGGTGTGTCCTGCTTTCCTCAAAGGCAATGCAGCAAGCATTTCATTCCTAGTGCCTTTCTAGGTGCCTGGCCTTTAGTGTCTAGGAAGCCCCCAGAAGGTCTAAATTACTGTCTGGGTAAGGGATGTTTCTGGGTCTATCATGTGATAATAGAATGGCCTGACACCGGCCACACTCTGTCCTGCGCACCTTGTCTGCCTGGCTTTTGTGCCCACTTGGGCCTGGGGACTGTATCAGTCTCCTACTGCTGCGATAACAGACTGCCCAACGTGCCCTTTAGTTCTGGAGCCAAAGTTCAGCATGGGTCTCACTGGGCTACGATCAAGGTGCCAACAGGGCTGCATTCCTCCAGGAGGCTCTTCGGGGAGAATCCACTCTGGGTCTTTCCCAGCTGCTGGAGCTCAACTGTACTGTTTAGCGGTGGCCCCCCCTCCCTCTCCAAAGCCAGCAGTACAGCACCTTCCAATCTCTGGGGCTCTCTGCTGCCTCCCTTTCCACTTATAAAGACCTTTCTGATTACACAGCCCAACTGGATAACCCAGGATAACCTCCCCATCTCAAGGTCCACTGATTAACAACTGTAGTTCCCTCTGCAACCATAATTCCCTTTCTGTCACTTAACATATTCATGGGGCCTGGGGATGAGGATGAGAACATCTTTGGGGGTCATTATGCTACTTACCACAGGACTTTTCACTGCTGAAAGAGCACAGGGCTAATGGGCAGGAACTAATGGTGAGCAGGCTCATTCTCAAGGGCATGCAGGCTGCACTTCCTTATTCTCCCCTCTCCGCGGGAGGGAGGCATGAGCCCCACTGCACACACACCTGCAGGTCCCTGAGAGCGGCGCTGGGGCCCTAACACCCCTCCAACTGGCACATGGGATCACAGCACTGGGGTCTCCTCACCCCCAACACCAATCCCAGAGGTCTCCCCACAGAATCCAAATGTGTCCCCACTGACCTGAGTCATTCAGCTTCCTGAGGTTTGGGTGGCTGGCCTGGTACTGCGCCTCCTGCTCTTTACTCGTACTTACGGCTTCTTTCAATCTTTGGATAAAAGTTAGGAAAAGAGGCAGCTTTTAAAAAGGAAAATACCTATTGACAGTGCAATAATGCTTGCATGAGGAAATCACAATTTATTGCAACTTACAGAAGCAATTATACATTGTAGTGTTTTTTTTTCAAATTAAGGGATTTAGGAGCTCAAAGGCTCTACCTTCACAGGCCATGCCTCAGTGTCAAGAATCTGCTAGGCTCTGGCTCTAGGAACAGCCGTGGCCCTCCGTCATCGTGGCTTCTCCCCTGCTATGACTGCCACGTATGCCCCTCTCCCCTCCGAGTGGCCGGATGCCACACAACCTTGACTCCTTGCAAAAGGTCAGTCCCTCAGCTGCAGGGCCAAGCTCCCCTCCTCGGGGCCTGCACTGCCTCACTGCTGGCCACCCACCTCCCCCAGGCAGATCTCAGTCCTGCACCTTTGGCCTCTGGCCTGCACAGCATGGGCACGCAGGACCCAGGAAGGAGTCCACGCCACGCCACAGGAGCAGCCCCTCCTACAGGGCTGCACATGCCTGCCTCAGCGCACATTTGGGCAAAAGCTGAATCAGAGTGAGCTGCTTCATTTAAGTTTCACTTCCCTGTTATCCTGCCTAACTCACGGCAAGAAGGCTGTAGGTGAATGGGGCTGACCTGTGAGCTGGGGGAGGGATGCCTGCTCTGCGCCAAAACAACTTCGGTTGCCTTACTAGTGGGTCACCTTTGCTGGGAAGGCCTCAAGTTTTCAAAATGTTCCAAAGAAAAGAAAGTGGTGCTGGGAGCCCCAGGACTCTAAATGCTTTTTAGAGTGTGACCAGGGCTGTGGAGAGCCCCGTAAGGCCTGAGAAGCCTTTGGGAGTAGGCAGCGAGGACACAGGAAAGTGGCGGATCACAAACCTGCCAGCTTCCCATTTCTCTCCTGCTGCATTTGTGCAAGGTGGGTTCAGCCTAGAGCACAGGGACAACTGAACTTCCTACGGTAATTACACGTAACCCCAAATGAGGACACAAAACATCTTTCTGATTCAGATATTGAAAGCAACTATTCCCACTGGGGGAAAAGAGGGACAGACATTTGAAATTAGGGTCAAGCTGAAAAATTGGGAGGAATGTTGATTATGGCTGAGCCAAAAACCAAACACAAAATAAACCCAGGTAAACTTGGGTGGCGGAGCCACAGCAAGCAGCCCTGGGCCCCTCTGCCTGCTCCCTCCCTGCGGTCTCTTCTCCGTAGGTCCTGACCACCTGGCCACCCCAGCTCCCTCACCTACATGCCTTTCTCCCCAGGCCCACCAGGAGCTGGAAACAGTTTCCTAAGCTTTTCCCTCCTGCACCCTTTATCCTGATCTGGGGGGCGGCGACATGGCTTTCTACGTAGGATGTATGCATTTTACTGTACACCAGTTATACATTTAAAGATAACTCTTAAGAATTAAGATACACCTGGAGAGGAATGGTCATGAAACCTGTGTAATAACATTACATCAAAAATTTTTCTGGGTTAAAGGGAAGAAGCTGGCAACGAAACCAAATGAATATTCTGACTGCAAACATAAAAACACCAAGTAAGGAGAAATACTACTTTTAAGCTTTTTGTGGCATGGTAAGTAAGGCATAGATTTTCTCTGATATGGCTATATTGTTTTTATAATAAAAACAGACACAGTGATGGGAGATATGAATGGCAGCAATCTACTTGAGCAGAAACTCAATTCTTTCATCTCTGAACATGTGATATTTAAGTGCCTGCTAAAATCACATGAGATTTTATGATCTCTAAGCCAAAATTTTTGAGGAAAATAATCTCTAATTTTAAAATGAAAATCAATGGGCAAATTGAATTAAATATTGAAAAACTGGATATAAAGACTTTTCCAAGCAAAAATTCTGTGAAGTGATTCACATTTGTGTTTATTAAGCTTTCTGAGGTGAACGTTTTCTCTTCCAAATGCTGGGGTCATGATTCCTGGAGCAGTAATTTAGTGGAGACCCAACTGACGCAGAATTTGCACACTGGACATGCATCAAATGAACCGAATCAGGAGTGCTGGAGAACTGTTTCTTGTTTCAAAATGTTTGAAGACAAATCCCTCCCAATGAGTAGCTTTCATAGCTCCTGGGGATCCTTTTAAGGCACTAGAAGTGGCCGGGAAGTCTTGGACATTCACACTAAACCCCACTTTCTGCTACTTCACATCTGACGCTGGAAACCTGCTTACCTGCTGCTGGGCTGTGGGGTGAGAGTGCCGTTCTGTTCCGGTGAGATTTCTGCCGGCTTGGGTTTGAAGTAATTGACGAGCCCCCCAAACATACTCTTAATGCTGTTAATATGCCTCTGGCTGATCTTCAAATCCTGATCCATCTTGTCAACCATCTTCTCTGTGCGTTCTAAGACTCCACGCTGCCGGATGAGCTCCTGTGAAATACAAGAGGCATGGCGTCACCCATTTCTGTGACCCTCCCTGCCCGAGGAGGAGCACACGCAGCAGGCCCTTCACACACTCACACCGAGCACTCCTGGGGACGCGAGTCATTTGCCAGGGCGTGTCACCTTGTCTGACACAGTGCTTTGTCTCTCCCTCCTGGCTCTACCTTTACGTGCTTTCTTACTTGCTCCCGAGTCCCTTTCCCCTCCTTTCCATAAGAAGCTGGCTTACAGGACCTCTTTGAAGATGGATGACGTGTGCCTGGGGGGCTGACTGGCAGCAGACCACCTCTCGCATTTGCCCCGACCCCGGTAACCTTCACTGGCTTGGACCTGGCCCTGCCCCATGGACTATGGCTCTTGTCCTCTTCTTTTTTGGAAATGGGAGTTCCCTGGGGCCCCCTGGCCCTGGTCATGTCTTCAAACTCTATTTCACAGACTAATCTGATGTCCTTTGAGGGCCCTGTTAGTATCTAATTCCAGCTCCTCCGTAGTTTCAGCTTTAAAACCTGTAACAAAGGCTCCCCATCACAGGCCTTTGCACATACTTTCCCTGCCTGCACTGCTCCTTAGCCAATACTCGCATGGTTCTGTTCCTCACTGATCTCAGGTCTCTGCTCAGAGGCCACTTCCTCAGAGAAGCCTTCCCTGAACACCTCTAAAGCAGAACCACTCCGTGTATCCTTGGCCTGCCGGAGTTTTCTTCAGGGTTCTCAGGCTCCATGAGGCAGGGACCGCCCTGCTCTCTGCTGTCTCCCCAGCGCCTCACTCAGCAGCAGCTGTCCACTGCACACCTGCCGAGTGGGCACGCTCTGAGGCCCTGCTCCTAGGAGCTGACAGTTGTGGCTGTGCATGTGAGCTCCCCGCAGCAACACTACAGCCTTCCTTTATTTGTGCCAAACTTGCGCCAGCCCCACTTTCCGGCCATTCTGGCCGTGTCCCCTCTGTGATCTACCGTCCCCTTCAGTCTGGGAGACAGCCCCTGCCCTCAGCCGTCCTCCTCTCAGGCTTCTGACCCCGCATCTCCCTGTGGCTCTGCGATCACAGTGACCACTCCAATCATCTTTAGAGATGTCCTCTTGGTACCTAAAAACATAGTCATGAACATTTTTTTTTATGAGTATTCAAGTTTCTTTTTTAGTCATGAACATTTTTTAAACAAACACAATATAAATTCGAAGGATAAAAAGGAAACTATACACAATGGGTTTATCAAGCCTATTTTAGACAGAAAGGTGTGAGCAGAAGGCTTTTAGATTCCCTAAAAGCCAATGTATAACTTGAATTCTTCATGTGTAGTGGGTAAAAGTTAAAAATATATAGGCAGAAAGCTAAAATACTGGTTGAATTTACTACTAAGTTCTCTTTAACTTATGTTGGAAAAAAACTTGGAGCTGCTGAGCTTTATAGCTTTGAACATTTAAATGTTATTCACCATCTCATGAGAAATGTCTGAAGAAACCACCAAACCTTTTAAAAAATAAAAATGTTTTCGGGGTGGTGTCCTTCAATATGTCAAGCAAATCTTGCAAAGGCTACTTTTCAGAAGAAAAAAAAAAAGCTGCTAATTGACCTGGAGCTTCTATTTCTTCTAACACCTCAAGTTGGTTATCTTCATGTCCATTCTGAGGAAGTCTTCTCTGGGACAAGGAGATTTTCTCCAGTCTTCAGGTGCTTTCTGTTGATATATGCCTAACAGTCTGGTCCTGCGCAGCATATTCTGCATGCTGGGCAGACAGGAGAGTGTGAAGCAGGAGAGGGGCCTAAGGCAGCAGGGGGAAGGGTGGGCCGGCTCTGCGCAGCCAGGAGCAGGTCCCCACCCCCACTCATGCTCCCCCTTCAGTCTCCCCGCCCCAGGCTGGGGAGCTGTAGCAGTAACAAGCAGCTGACAGAGCCTTCAATTCACAGTGAGATCTTACCTTCTTGTTTACAACTGACACAGTCTCTCAAACTCGCAGCATCTATGTCACCATGCTGACTTTGTAAGGAAACCACATGTCTCATTTAGATGTCATGACACAAGTTCAGAGAAATCTGAGGGGGCAGCTTGTCCTGCCTTGAGGCTGAGGCTGGAAGGCCAAGGACGGGAGTGGCACTCTGGTCTCTGGAAGCTTCTGTGAGCTGGTAGTTGTTTTTCACCAAAGGTGATCTGCTGTCGGGAGGCCAGCAGAGGAGGAACTTCTAAAATCTTCCCCCAGAGGCAGAGGGAAGTGCCTATGGTCTCATTCAAACCAACACGGAAGAGGAAGAAGGGCCTGGCAAACACCAGCCTGGCAAATACCAAGAGCGCCAGGAGAGAAGGACTAGCCAGCCGGGCAGGCCCTGCACCCCAGCCATGAGGAAGGCAGGCCCTAAATGCTCAAGTGCCAAGGCACGCTCTCGTCCCCCAAGGGGGGCCACATCACATCACTGTCATTTTAAACAAGGTGGGAGGATGGGAGGCCCCTGAGGAGACCAGGGTGGGTGTGAGGGGAGGGTGCTCAGGATCGTGCCCTCAGCGTAGAGTGTAGAGGGCAGGCACTTAGCTCAGGCGGTAGAGTCCCCAAAAGGCATTTGCTAAAGTTAAACTGGGAAGAGTGTAGGATGGCTTTTCTGTCATCCCCATGGGACAATAAGCTCGCTTGGATTCCTAGCATCGCACTGCCATCAACAAATGGAAAGTCACTTGTTTCACCCACTGATGGACTGCAGGCCCTCTCAGGGCAGAGGCGTGGGGTTGAGCTCACCCCTGGATCCCAGCACCTGGGCCGTGCCTGGCAGAGCGCGGGCACTCGCGGTAGCTGTTGCGGGCCCTGCGGCGCCTCTGTCCTGGCCTCTTTGTAGGGAGTGCTCTGCCGGCAGGGGCTCCCTGGCGACCTCATACCCCCCCGGGGCCCGAGGACATGGGTCGCCTCGGAAGGGCCGTGTGTGCCCTCACAAGGTCTCCAGCTATCTTGTTTTGCTTCCCTTGCTCTGTCAGGAATCCTTCTGTTTGACAAAAGGCCACAAACCAAAGAGGACTGAGACAGTCCCCCCTCTGTGCTGTCCCTCAGCATTGCACCACTGGCCCAACCAGATCATTTCTCTGACCAGGGCTGTTAAAGGACTAACTCCACAGGCCTGGGCTGTCCACACCCTACACTTTCCAAAGAAAGGTTCTGCCCGGCTCCTTGCCCTTGGATTGCCCTGATAAGAGTGTCTTTTCACCTGAGTCCTTAGGTCAGGCCAGACAGTTTATGCTGACAAAGTGACTTATGATGGGGACCGTGGGCCACAGGCTTGACTGCTGGAGGCGCTGGCAACTAAGTTCTGCTAGGCAGGCAGGTGGTCAGTCATGCCTCCATGGCTGACCCCCCAAAAATCTCTGGGCCCCCAGGCTTGGGGAGCGTCTGTGGTTGGCAGTCTGTGTGTGTTACACATCACGCATCACTGCTGGAGAAGTATGTGTCCTGCACACAACTCCACCACAGGACCTGGAAGCTGGCACCTGGTCGCTTGGACCCTGTCGTCTGAGCCTCTCCCTCTGGTAATTTTAATCTGTATCCTTTTGCTGTAATAAACCATAACCACGAGCAACAGCTTTGCCAAATTCTGTGAGTCCTGGGGAGTCACTGACCCTCAGGGTGGTCCTGGGGGTCCCCAGATGACACTTTGAGCCCTTCTCATTCTTGGAACTGCCACCTTGGAGGAGGATGGCTGGAGCGCAGACAGCCCCTCAGCTTCCCACAGCACATCGCCCGGTCTGGCCCACAGAGCAAGGCGCCTCAGGACAAGGCAGCCATCAGTGGGCATTCCAGGAAGGCGCACCAGAGATGGCCAGATGCCGGGGCGCTGGCGTGCGACGTCTGACCTACCCGAGTGGTAACACCTCACCCTCTGCCGGTGCCTGTTACAGCGCAGGAGCCTGGGATGAGCTTCCTAACAGCCAAAGCCCATCAGTGACAGTTTATGAATAATTAATACAAAAAATATATCCAGAATAGACCTGCCAGTGAAGATGGGAGCCAAAGACTTTTGCCTATCAGAGGCCCTTAAACTCAGCAGGAACAGCCTGGACGCACAAGGATGCCTTTCCTGGGCGTCTGAGGGAGGCTTCATCCAGAGCCGCTCTGCTCTATCCCACCTCAATCTCTCCTTCGCCCAATCAGTCCTCTGTTCCCTCCCCTCCTCTCTTCTTCCTCCCTAGTCACTTATCCATCCTACAACTCTTTGTGGGGTGCCTTTTACATGAAGAACATTGAGCTGAGAAGTGCGGGGTAAAAGGCTGAGCAAGAGACAGTTCCTCCGTAGCTGACGTTTAGAAATCAAAAGGAATTAACCCAACAGCTGTCTTTCCCCCCCATCAGTTTCTGTTTCAGTATCCGGCTGTGCTAAGAACTCTAGCCACATCAGAATCACCATGGGCTGCCTGGGAGGGGAGGCTGTGGGCAGCACAGCGCCTTGTTTGGATGGAAGATTCTGCTCAAAGACCAGCTTTCCAAAAAATGAGGGCAGCCCCCTAAGTTATGGGGACACTTTGAATAGATGGCTGTGAGGGCTTGTGTTCTGGGCTATTGTTTTCGCCCACCTCTCTGAACTGATGTCCAGGATGGCTTTGGCGACTGTCGAGTGTTGGAAAGACACTGAGAAGCCTCCGAGGGAGATGGCGTGCAGGGTGCACTGGCCAGGGCTGCTGAGTGCATCATGTTTGAACCCTGTGAAATACACTCCCTTTCCACTGACGGTTCCGCACTAGCCACTGGGGCCCCCATCTAATGTTCATTGCTGTGCTCCCCTGAGATCCCAGGCCCCATAAAACGTCACAGGAGCACGCTCAGCTGCCAGAGGGGATGAGGAGTGTCCTGGGCAGGTGGGTCTCCTTGGCCAGGGTAGCAAAAAGGTGTACAATATCCAGATCCATGTAGGATACAAACAGGCTTGCCCAAAGGTGCAAACAACTCAAATGCCATCATTAGGGTACTGGCTACATAACAGAGGCCATCCATTCAATGGAGAATGACAGCCACAAAATAAAAAGAGCGCAGCACATCATAAACTGCTATGGAACAACCTTCAATCCTATTAAGAAATGTGCAGAACTAGAATGTATACAATGCTTCTGTTTTAATTAAAATTAAAAATAAAAAGGAAAAAAACGGAAAAGACTTTAAGTATCCTTTATACACAGAACATGCCTACAAAGACATTTAAGGAATTGATGGCCACTGGTTGTCAGGGGCACAGAGAGGGGAGACTTCACAGCCTTCTGTATTGTTTTGAGCTGTGAAAAGTGACCGGATTATCACTTCACATATATTAAACTTTAGAAAAACAAAAGAAATAAATCATGTTTGCAGAATAGAAGAGCTGAGAGGCTTACAAGGCTCTTCACAGTTCCGGACTGTGCTTACCAGTTGAGAGTGACCTGGTGTGCCCTAACTCCACCTCCTCTGTCCCCTGGTGCTCATGACCTGCATCTGGAGTCTGTGGCAAACAAACCACACCAAGTTTCAAAGGAGAAGGGCAGCTCCCTTTTGTCAGTGATTTGACTAAGTAATTTTCCTACTCCTGTCAAGCTGGGACTGAATTACGATCTCCCTGGCTCAATATTATTTGTAAGCTCCTAAATCTCTATAAAAATCTGTCCTGTTTTAGTGCATCTCAGTGCTGGGTCTCTGGCAGTCACCAGCCTTAAGTTGGGAGGTTAGCAGCCTGCTGGGAGCCACGCTGTGCCCTGAGTGGCAGAAGTATGGCACTGTGCCCCATCCCAACCCTGGTGGGAACGAAGGAGCGATTCAAAGGCAGTTTGCAGAGGATGGGATGGGGTGGGGATGGTGATCATTCCTGCCTCCCAGGGCCTCTGATAGTTGAGAACTGATTCAATCCTGGAAAAATGCAACGTGTAATCAAGCTAATGAGTGTGCCTGTCACCTGCCAGGTCACACTCACACGGAAGCTCTCAGAGCAAGGCCAGCTTGACCCAGGCCAAACCATGCAGGCCTGAGGGGTCACGCTATCCCTGCTGTCACAGTCCCCACTGCAAAGAGAGGACCTCTGGGGGCTGCACGGGGCATGTCACCACAATCCGTATGAAGCTGCTCACCTCTACTGTGTTTTTGGTTCTCCTGAGTTATGAGGTCAGACTTTCCCTCTGACCTCGAAAGGCTCCTAAGCTGCCTCCTCTAGGCCCTTCCTCAGAGCATCCTGTGCATCACTTCCATACTCAGGAGCTCAGGTGTTCTGGTGGGGGGCCAGGGCCTTTGCACTGCTTTCTCCGCTCCAAACATTCTTTCTCCTCCTCACTCCTCTAGTCTAAACCTTAGCTTTAAAAGCCAGATTCAAGTTTATCCTCTACCATAATACTGTAATTCATACTGTTCTGATTTCTTACTTCATTGGTTCTCACTATTTGCAAAGATGTCTCTTCAAACAGTTCTCAGTTGGCTTCCTTGGGCTAGGGACTCTCAATCAAGTGACCTCTCCACCAGGGCCCTAAGACCTCAGGCAATCCTCCCAAACCTAAGTCAACACTTTCCATTTAGACTGGAACATGGGAACCCAGTAGGCATGAGATGTTAAAAACTACCAACTAAACTTCCTCAATGAGGCCAAAGACAGGAAGGTGGGCCAAAGAAGGATATGGTAACATAGGGAGTAGGGATGGAAAATAACCTGAGAAAGTGTCAATGGGGAAACGACAGAAATGACTATTTGAGAAGTGAATCAATATACCTCGAAACCTTCCTAAGTCATCAGGTCAGAATGGACTTGGACAGAAAAAAATTACAAAAAGATCCATCGAGGAAGACAACACTTTAGCTTCCAGCATTACATTTCAAAGCTACAAATGTTTGAGGTGAATTATTCTTAGCTGACATACTAATAATCTACTATCACATTTTTTTTAACTTATACAAAAATGCCCTAACAAAACCATTTCATTCGTAGGCTGTGGAGAGAAGGTGGTGCCTAAGAAAGAACAATCCTCACCTGAAGCCGTACTCTCTGAAATCTTCTATGGAGAAAACTGACAAGGTGAAATGCAGCAATGGCCTGTCACAAACCAGACACTATCTAACTAGGACATCTTCATCTGGATTTGAGAAGCAAAGTTAAGGCCTTAGATGAGAACAAACTTGGGCTGTGCTTACTCAGCAGCTGTCCAGGCAGACTGGACTTCAACAGCCATACTGGCCAGGTGGAGCGGTGGTCAGTGCTGGGAGAGAACTCAAGGCCCACTGGCTCAACGCTTTGGACACATCAGCACCTGCTCAGCGCTCACCCTGCGATGGCAGAAACCCTGGGGCCAGGCTTCTGCTCAGGAAAACACGCAAAGGAAAGAGACACTTCCATTTCCCTAATCTAGATCCTGCTGTTCAGACTTTTTACTTACCTGGACAGGACACAGTGTGGAGTTTACCTCTGAAGTAGGAGTAGACGAAAAAATAATCAACTAAGCCTACTAACAACTAAGGAAGATTCGCCAGGGGCAGACTGCCTCTTTCAAGTACTCAAGATACGCATCTCTTTACACAGCTAACAGGTTATTACGAATTATCAAGTCCCTAAAATACAAGAACTTATTCTAGGCAATTCGAGGATTCCCCAGGGTCGTGAACAAAATATGTCCTGGCCCCGTAAGACGAGGCGGACGGGCGGTCCAGTCCAGCCGCGCTCCGGACTCACCTCGGAGGAGGCGACTCCGACCTTCTCGGACTCGTACATGAGGGACAGGGACCTGTTGGTGCTGGCGGCCGTGGCCTCCGCTCTGCGCAGCACCTCCTGCCGCAGGGCCTGCTGCCCGTCCGCGGGCCCGTCGGGGCCGGCGCGGGCGTCCTTCCACGGGGCCGGACTGTCTTCATCCTCCGCGTCGTCGTCGAATGGGTTGTAGCTTTTGGGGTAGGCCGACATAGCCGGGGCTGGTCTCGGTCTCGGCCGGAGGAGACGCGCGGCCCAGGCGGGGAACAGCCCTTCCAGCCGCAGGGGTCCCGGACGCTCTCCCGAGGCTCTCGGGACGCGCCCGCAGCTCCGCCGCCGGCAGCTAGGCCGCCAGCCCGCAGCTCAGCGCCACGCCCCGCGCGTCAACGACGTCGCCCTGCGAGCCCCTTCCGCCTGCGGTGCGCGGGAAGCCCCGCCTCCGGAGCCGACCATCGAGCCCAGCGGCTGGGGGGGTGGGCCACGCAGGGTGCGAGAGACCGCGGCCCACGCACGGCTTTTCCTCTCCCTCCAGCGGTGGAACCGCCCCGCAGCCCCGCCCTGCCGGGTGTCAGCAACAGGGAGGTCACGTGGCGGGGAAGCCGGATGCGGCCGCGCCTGCGCCGTGGGCTCCGGGCGCGCTGGCCGGTGCGGCAACCCTGCGGGCTGCGCAGCGGCGCGCTCGACGATGGCGGCTGCCGCGGCCCGGGGAGGCGGCGGCTGCGGCGGCTCCGGCGGCGGCTCCGGTGGCGGCTCCGGCTCCAGCGCCGCGCGGGGTTTCTATTTCAACACGGTCTTGTCACTGGCCCGCTCCCTCGCCGTGCAGAGACCGGCATCCTTGGAGAAGGTAGTCTCGGCCGCTGGGCCGCGGGCTGACCAGAGGAG